TTTTTTTTCAATAACAGTATTAATGAAATAAATAAAATTTTATTAAAGAGTATGACATATCTGTTTTAATACTATATTAATACTGTTGTATGTGAGTGTGTGAATTAATAAAATTATTTCTTTATTAATAAAATTAAAATAACGCAATTGATATAACATCATTTTTTCAATGTATATATTTAAGAGACTTGGATATTAATTGCAGAAAATAATTTAATCTATTGTAATCTATGATATAAAGTTGTGAAACTTTAGAATTATGAAATTCTTAGAAAAATAATGAAATATATAAGAAGAAAAAGAATATCTTAAGATCAAGATTAATAGATCAAGAAACGAGCATAATAGTTTAAAATTATATTTGTTTCTTAGCCTTATTAAAACATTCTTTTTTACTTTGCACATACAAACTTGACAATTTGCTAATAGTATATAATTTTACATATATAAGAGATAGTGAAGATAGAAAGAAAACTTATCTAATCTTATTAATTTATAAAATGTGTCTATGTTGTCCATGGAGTTTTCAAAAGCTAATCGAAAAAAGAATAGCATTGATCTAATACATCACAAATATATATTCGGAAGAGATCGAAATCGAAGATATCGATTGGCATCCAAGAATGGGCCGAATCGGAAATCGAAGTCATTTTGCCGTTCTGGAGAAGAGAAGAAGAAAGTCCATCGAACGAAAAAAGAATGTGCTACTCGGAGGTCGCGAAGCCGTCGTGATGGAGGAATAGGAAAAGATAGAGGAGGAAGAGAATGGAGAAGACAGGGTGGAAAAATAAGACTCCTTTCCGAAGGATTGAAACAGGCCCGTATTTGATACCATCTGTGTGCTCTCTCAATAATAATAGTATCGACCGAGAAATGTGTGCGCGAGGCGCCGTGGATTCTCTCCGACGTTTTGAGGGCAAAGAGGAAGAGTGGCGATGATGGGGGAGAGAGAGAGAGAGAAAGAGAGAGAGAGAGAGAGAGAGAGAGAGAGAGAGAGAGAGAGAGAAGAGAGAGAGAGAGAGAGAGAGAGAGAGAGAGAGAGAGATTGTGATAGTTTCGTGGAGCAGATGCGGGAAAGCGCGATGAGGAGGAAGAGAGGAAGAGGGAGGGAGGGAGGGAGGGAGAGAACGGAAAGAACCCGTATGCTCTCCTCCGATGCACATACTGGAGCCTCACGGATGAGGTGAATCCCCACGATTGGCGAAGAGTAGGGACGGCAACGAGCGAGGCCCCGCTACCCTGCCGGTTGGGCCTGCTCTTAGATGATCATCCGGAGACACGGCTGATGGGGCCAGTAGGGGCCCCAGAAATTCCAACAAGGACGGAACATAATGTGCGACTCAAGGTCGGTTCTACTACCGACGGCAAGGCCCCGACGGATGCGACCACGTTCAAGCAGGGTCGTACCGTGACCTCGCCGCATCTCCTCCCCGCTCTTCCTTCTCTTTTCCCTTCTCTTTCCCTTCTATCGCGTCCTTTCTTTATGCCTCATCCTACTTCTCCCTCGTTTATTCGTTCTCGTCCTTCGCTGATTCCTCAGCAATCCTGACTACCCTCTCGTCCACCTTTCTCTGCTGACTTCTGTCCTCACAGCTAACGCGCACGTTGTCCCCACCAATGACAGAATCGTGCATTGGCTCTCAGGCACCCTGCGCTTCTGGATTGCATTGCATACGAAGACATTCCACGAGTCTGAAAAAATAAACACCCTCGAGGACTAGAATGACGAGGATAAATTTGGATTTCGATATTTTACATAATAGAAAGGTTACTATAACAAAAATTTTTGTTTTTCTCTAATGAACAATTTTTATCTTGCTGTGACATAAAAAACCAAACAAATATTTATAAAACATTATAATTTTTGTTATTATCAACTATGTAATAGTCTCTTTTTACTATCTTTGCATGCAATTTTATATGCATTGCAATATATGAAATGTATCAGACACATTTTAATATATTTTAATAGTTCAATAAAATTTTTTCTAATTTTCTAATTTTTTCATTAATTGAAAATTTTGTTCAATTGAAAACAATGTTTAAATTCTTCAATCAAAGTAAAATTCTTTTATTTTGAAGAAAAAGGAGGTATAATGAATATTATATCAATTGAATATTATATAAAGATAAGGGATATTTGATAGTTTTAGCTCCAGTTGTAGGACAGGTTAATTAATTTATTTTCACCGTGAAAGGCTAGGCATTATATTACACTATTTAATTTTAAACTCATCCCTTTTAAACTAGAACTTGGAGTTTGAACCGAGGTCCTGGTTGCGACAATCTTGTCGGGGCTGCCGAGGCTCGCCTTTTTACGTCGGGTAAGAAAGAGGCGCTTGAGGCCATCGAGAAGTGAGAGAGAAAGAAAGAGATGACATGAAAAATATACGATGGAGGAAGCGCCTGGAATAAGAAGGAATGATGGAAAAGAAGAAGAAGAAGAAGAAGAAGAAGAAAAAGAAAAAGAAGAAGAAGAGAAAGAAGAAGAAGAAGAAGAAGAAGAAGAAGAAGAAGAAGAAGAAGAAGAAGAAGAAGAAGAAGAAGAAGAAGATGATGATGATGATGATGATGATGATGATGATGATGATGATGACGATGATGATGAGAAGAAGGAAGAAGATGAAGAGGGAGTACGTGGAGCCAGTTTGTGCTCCATTCCGTTGGAGAGAAAAGAATCTGTGTGCGCGAGGTTGCGGTGGTAGGGGTAAAAAGGGGTATTGGAGGAGGGATAGATACCGAAGAGGGGCAGGTAGGACTGGCCGGACGAAGCAAGAAGCGAAGGAAGAGAAGGTAAAAAGAGGAAAAAAGGTGGGATCCCTTAAAAATTGAGACCCACGGAGGTGGGGATCGGAATTTCGGGCCCCGTACATCGGCCAGTCTCAAGGAGGCCTTCGTGAAGATGAGGCGAGGAGAAAAGAGGAGATAGAAGAGTGCACGAGAGCGCAGGAGGGTACGAGACGGGATCGAGAGGAGGAAGTAAAGAAGTGGAAAAACGAAAGGAGACGAAGAAAGAGAGAGAGAGAGAGAGAGAGAGAGAGAGAGAGAGAGAGAGAGAGAGAGAGAGAGAAAAGAGAGAGAGAGAGAGAGAGAGAGAGAGAGAGAGAGAGAGAGAGAGGGTGGAAGAGAAATAGAAAGAAGAGAGGAAGAAGAGGAAAAATCGGAGGTGGAGGAGGAGAAACAGGAGGAAGAAAGGTATCGCGTAGCCACAGAGAGTGCGCACAGTCCATCGTATACTCGGCATGGACCGTCAGTACACCCTCTGCGTACTCGTACCTGCACATCAATACCGTAACTACGTGAATAATTATCATCATCATCAACAGAAACAAGTGCAGGAGCAGCAACAGAAAAGTTTGCAACCTCCATCATATCTTCAGTATCAACAGCAACGCTTAATTCAACAGACGCAGCAACAACAAGAACAAATCTATGAAAACGTCGTGTCTCAATATCACATGAAAATGTGCTATCATAATGATTATGAGAACGATGAGCAGATACAGAAATTCTACTGGGAGCAGTGTTATAAGCGCAATGATACCGACACTACAGCGTATTACTACTGCGAATATGTAAGGATTTACTTGGGATTACTCGTAACAAATATTTGGAAGTACGTCGGTTTCGTCAGTTGATATCGCGTGTTCCTTTTTCTGAGAACGGAAATTGTGTACTTTAGTGCCTCTCTTCGCAAAGTTATGTTTTTATCTTTTAGAAGATGCTTCGCAAAATTTTATTATCGAAGCATTAAAATTGTAAATATTCTCTTACGACGAAACGTGTGTGCCAATGAATGTGAGCGATTGAGATTTTTCTTTTTAGTGAGATATATTGTGTTCTTTGCACTTTCTTTCATAAGAAACCTCGTGTGATTCTTCCAAATATTCGGAATGCAGTGACACCATATATGGGATAATCGTGAAACTACATAATAGGAATATTTAATTAATTATATTTTCTGTGAAACATATTAAACACAGTATATATCAGCATTGATATTAAGGATTGTATATTGATTAAGATAAATCTTTTTTTATTCTGATTAATTAATTTATAAATTAATATAACTCCTTTTTTAATAATTATTTAAAAGAATGCTGAGAAGAGTCTCTATGTTAAAGAAGATATTTAGATTTATTTTCTTGAAAAATTTTGTTTTATCTTCTTCACTTACATTTCTTTACATATCATTTTCCTTTACGTTTATAAATAAACACATCATTCTAGCGCGTGCAATTTGCACGTAATCGCTAAATAAATAATTGCAAACTATGCAGTGTTGCTATTTATGGAAGCACAATATCATCTAAATGCTTAGAACTTAAATAACTACCATTTAAAAGTTACATAACTACGATAAATTATTCCTTCATCCTTTATCATTTTCTTAATACATTTAATTAACGTGTCTTATATGTTACAAAAAAAGATTTGTGGATATTACAGTGGATATGAAAATAAGTGTTATATAATATTGATATGAAAATCAATTGTTTTAAAAAGGTTGTTTTAAAAAGGTTCAAATTTTTGTGTTATAGGCGAAGAAGGAGATTTATGACGTAAAACATCAGAGGCTCTGCTTGGCTCAGGACGAATACAATCACCTCAATAACGCCTTAACCACCCTTGGCGCATCGCGTACAAGTTGTGAGTGTAATTTAACATACAGAGGATTTTTATTAGTTCCTGATTTAAATAATAACTTGGATATACTGTGCGCGTTACATGCAGATATTTATGAATGCTTCGTCAATCCTGTCATTTGAAAAGTGTTGTGTTGTTAAAATGAAATTACAGAACATTGCTGCCAATTAGGGAATTTGTCATGATTGGTAGTTTTTTTTTTTTTTATATTTTGAATTTTACATGTGGTCAAATATCTGATTTTAAATTAATTTTAACGCGAGTGTAAGTAAAAAAGTTCTCAGCATTGGAAAATATTGACGGGCATTTGTGGTTCGCAGTGTGTTCCAGCTCGAGTTCCTTGAGTACCAAATATGACCCTGACCTGCTTAAATCAGACGTGGCACTTGCAAGGAGTCGAGTTTCTCGATTAAAACGAGAACTCGAGCAAATTCGAGCGGAGATGAATTGCACGCAACGAGGAGTAGATACTCTCGCCAGGTATTACATAGACGAATATTAAGTCGACGGATAGCCCATTTTTGTATTAAACTTATTTAAGTAATTTAATCTCAGTCTGTAACAAAAATTATTTATATGCATTTTACTAAGATTTTATGAAAAATTTTGCTCCTCTTACATTTATTTTAATAATACTTATTTTAATAATAATTTTTATTTAAGAAATTGAAATTTTATAGATATCATTGAATTTTAAGACGCTTTTTTTATTAATAATTATCATATTACAGCCAGTTATTTGTAGTACTCACAACACTTGAGAATAATTCTAACTCCTGCGGTCTACTTCTTTCTGCAGTGTGGAACAAAAATTGAGCACTCATCATGGTGGATGCTACAATATTATGGAAGCGCAGGCGATCATGACGGAACTTCGCAACATACAAAAGTCTTTAAGCTCAGGTGAGAAAGAGAAGGCTGAGCTGATGCAATCGCTGGCACAATTAAAGGATGAACTGACAAGGTTGCAATTATGCGAGGGCAGTCCGGAAGCTAGCACGCTCAGTTTGCCACAGGAGAAGCTCAGCACGGCCTCTCAAACTGATCTCTCGGGCGAGCTGGTACCGATCGGTACTCGGCTGGCCGAGATGGCACGTATGAGGTTGCAATATGATGAGGCAAGAAAACAGATTCAGCATATACAACAACAGTTGGCGGATCTCGAAGAAAAAGTGACGCCAGGACAAACTGAGAGCGACAAGGATAAGCTGTTATTATTCCAAGAAAAAGAACAGTTATTGAGAGAATTACGTAGCATCACTCCACGAACAAGAACACAACAGGACATGAAGAAGATCCAGTTGGAAATTCGTAGGCTCGAGCAAGATCTTAATACCGCGTTTGAACTTTCAAATAAAACCATCACTGATCGCGTACGGCTCCACGAAGAGAAGCAACTGCTGCTGCAGCAACTTAGAAATGCGCTACGCTCAATGGCAATGTTAGAGGGTCAATTGAAAACTTTGAGCGCTAGTACATTGTCGGTGAGCAGTAGTTCCAGTCTCGGTAGTCTCAGCACGACGAGTAGCAAAGGTTCTCTCAGTTCTGGACTTAGCTTCACGGATATTTACGGTGGTCCGCAGTGTTTGGGATCGGCTAGTTTACAGCAAGAACGACCAGTCGATATGGTTGACCTCCACAGACGTGTTGAAAGACTGTTGCGTGGTTCCGAACAGAGTAATCTCGTCGGAACACCCTCACCCGGCAGATCTCAGCCCAGTCTTTCCCCAAGATCGAGTTTGTCCAGTGTAAGCCCGCCGGTATCGCCGTTGTACGAAAATGCGCCGATGGGTCCGCCGCCTGCCTATGAACAGGTAGAACTACAGAGGAGGCAATATCAGAGAACAGCGGCACCTGCAGTGACAACAACGACAACAACAATAGCAACGATTAGCGGTACCGCTACGTCTCATCTGGACGGGAATCAACTAGAGGACCGTTTGTCGGAGTTCAGATTTGTTTGTCAGCAACAAGGAGTAGTGTCACAACAAGAACAACAGCTGGGCTCCATTAATACGCAGGATCGTTTAAAACTGGTCGGTCCCCATCCGCCCGTCGAACTGCAATCGAGTAATATGTCCCAGGGCAGTGGTTTGGGCAGGCCTGGCGCGAGTGGCACGCAGATGCAACTACAACCGCCAACGTCCCTGCCGCCGGAGCCACTCCCCTTATCACCGATCAGCGAAACACCACCGCCTACTGGGATCAGGTCGAGAGCCAGTAGTTCCGGTACCAACACTAGATCCGTCTCCGCCGCCGTTTCTGATGAAAGCGTCGCAGGTGACTCGGGTGTCTTCGAGGCATGCAACCGAAAAAGATTGTCCGGGCCCATCTCTGATATAGACCCATTAGCTTCTGGCGAAATGAGCCTAGAAACCGCACAAGTGCAGATTAAACTAAGGTATATTTTGTTTATGGATCATATATTATAAAAACATCGAACAAAATATAATAAAAATGTGCATAAAAGTGTCACAACATATTATAAAAGTATATTTCTTTTGCAGATATTTTTCTTATTTAAAATTTGTTATATTATCAAATGTATATATAAAACGATTATGTGTACATTATAAAAAATAATATATGAAAACATAATGCTGCAGAAAAATTATTATATGATAATCATATATCTATTATTTTTATAATAACGTAAAATTATAATTTTTTAAATAACGTGTAAACATTATTTTTATTTATTTATTTAACTTATTTACGAAATTTTTATTTATTTATTTAACTTACTTACGAAAAATTATTATAATACAAACTTATTTTATTTTTGCGGAAGTTTGCTTTCATTCTTGTGATGCTTTAGATGAAACGAATAACTGAATTGAAATCTATAATTTTACATTTATCAGGTATTCAGTGAGTGACGGATTACTTCATGTTGGCATTGAACGAGCGAGAAATTTAGCCGCGCTTTTCATACCCGATAACGCGCAAGTGTGAGTACCTACATGATGATTTTTTTTCTAATTATTTTTAACCAATATATTTTAAGCAATATATTTACTACGTCTCAATATTCCAGTCATTGCGTTAGTTACACTTCAATTTTTATTTGTTTTCTTCGAAAACATAAATATTTACGTCTTAGTTAATATCGTGATATAACCGCCGTTAAATATCTCAAGCTATCCACGAACGAGATTTTATTTTCAAAAATAACTTTACCGATTAAATAACTTCATTGCATAATGTTAGATCAACCTGCTGACGAGTTACGCAAATATACTCGACTTTTGTCTATTCCCCGTTTGCAATCGACGATCTTAATGACCCAAGTTGGCTAGTCAATCGATCACTCGGGCTCCTACTGACGTCTTTGAAATTGGAATGTAATTATGAAATCCTTGTCGCGCACTCATGTCTGGATCATTGACCAGCCGCGTGTCGCGCTCACCTTCGTTACGTAAGAATCGGCTATTATCAGCGATACCATGTCTCGCAATTAGCTTTACAGCCACTCAGGAATTTATTCTCGTGGCCATTGTGTCCGGCCACCGACCATAAATTCACGAAACGGCACGACGCTTCGACGGTTAAGGAAGAGAGACAGATTAATGTATATAGTTACACGGGAGCGTTTGATTAATGATCCATCTTTCACGCGGTGAACTCACGTTTTCCAATCCCGCCGATGAAAAGAGAAGGCAGGAGAGAGAGAGAGAGAGAGAGAGAGAGAGAGAGAGAGAGAGAGAGAGAGAGAGAGA